ATCCATTTCATTTACAATGTCAGTTCATTTGCTTATGATTAGGCAAAATTTATTTCTAAGAAATTCCTTCATTTCTTCTTTAGTGTGTGTAAATTTGTTCTTTTCTGTCTTTCTAAACTCTGTTTTTCATTTTTCTTTTTGAAAAATCCAATTAGCTATGATTTATCTATGAATTGGGTATTTTGGGTTTTTTTCAGAAAGCCAGATGCTACTTTTACCTATTAATTTGCTGGGTTGGACTTTTTGTTGTTGTTTGGTTTGGTTTTGTGCTTTCAATTTTGTTAATCTGTTTCTTGATTTTTTAGAATGTCTTTTCTGGTATGTAATTGAGGGAACTAATTTATTGATTTTCTAGGTGAGTTCCAATTTATTATTCGGGACTTTTTTTTTTAATGAAAGTATTTGGAGACATAAAATTTCCCCTAAGGACTTCTTTGACAGCGTCCCAGAATTTTATTTATATTTTTTAATTGTTGTCATGTTTAATGAAATTATCAAATGTTTCCAGGATTTGTTTTTGTACCTACCCATTCTTGATTTAAAAAAAAAAAATACCATGCACATCTGAAAAAAAGATGTATCCACTTTTTAATTGCTATTCATTAATCCCTAGAGGTCTATCATAACTAACTTTAACAAAATTCTAATCAGAGCCTTAATTTCTTGTGTTTTTGGTTAGACTGATCTAGGTCTGGAAAAAGATAAATAGAGGTCAACCACTATTAAAATTTTACTTTCTTTTTCTATCTGTAACTAATTTAACTTCTCCTTTATGTATTTAGATACTATGCCAATTGATGTTTACATATTTACTACTGATATTAATTTTTTGTCTATGGTACCTTTCAGTAAAATGAGATTTCTACATTTATCTCTTTTAATCAGATCTATTATTACACTTTCTTTGCTTGAGATGATAGCTCCTGTCCTTTCTACTTCAGCTGTATCATGAAAGATTGTCTTTCATTTCCTTATTTTTTAACTCTGTGTAAATCTTCATGTTTTAAGTGTGTTTACGATTAAAAAAAGAAACATGTCATTGGCTCCTGCTTTCTCATCCATTCTTCTATCTACTTTATTCATTTTTTTATTTTGTGAGTTGAGTTGAACCCATTTATATTCACAGTTATGATCATTAGCTGTGTATTTCCTCACCTTATTCTCTTATATTTTTCTTTGTCTTTTTTCTGCCCAATCTTTTTTATATATTATATTCATGGTTGTGCTATACTATTACAGAACTCAATGATGTATCAAACATCTGGACAACTAAAGGGGCAATGGATGAGCAAAGAGCACATTAAACTAGGCTTCAGGATATGATCAACAATGATTTCTGGGCAAAGAGTAGTGTAAAATATAACATATAGGAAATGATCAGAGAAGGCAGTGGTGTTGTCATGAAAGGAAAGAAAACAGGCACAAATGGGCAGCCTGAGTGATGCACTGGTACCCATGAAACGTTAAAAGACATGAAGAAAGACCTCCAGTTTACTGTGTAGAACTTCCCTGGGGGACTTATGGCATCACATGGACAGAAATCACACAGGATAGTAAGGCATAGATGAGTCACGTAAGTGGAAAGAATGTCTCGTGAATGAGATTAAAAATCTATCAATGTCTAGATGTGACACCATGGAAGTAAATTTGGGAGAGAAAGTCAGAAAAAAACTAACAGAAGATCTCAGGGTCCCCTGGGACACAAAATGATTGAAAATCCCATGAAAACTTACTATCCCTCAGGAAGCTGTCCATAGCTTCTCCCCCTTAGATCCCTTAGATGACGTATAAAGGAACAAGAAGATGTCAGGGGCCTTGCCCCATGTTACTGTTTGACAACTCTGTTTGATACTATGGCTGTACATTCCTGTCTCTATGGACACCAACCCTGATATCTAGACACTGGACTCAGATGGCTCCTGAAGAGGAAGTGAGGCTGGTGACTTTGCACAGCCCTCCCTCACTTAAATCCAATTCATTTGTATGTCATGGCATCATCTCCCTGATGCCATGGTCCTCTTCCAGAGGGAAGGATAAAAAGCAGCAATGGACACCAACACCTACACTGTGTATTTAAATTTTAGGGTTCACATGGGGGGAAGGGGTGTTGTTTTCATGTAATGGTGATTACCTAGTTGATTCATTACTTATTTTGAATCTTAATTCTCAAGGAACATTTTGTTTGGGTACTTACTTAATTCCCCAAAGCCTTTTGCAGACTGAGCAGATAAATTGGAAGAAATTCATCTCCCTGACCAGACGTGTCACACTTTCTCATCTGAAGGATAGAGAAGCAAGTACTAATAATATTACCCCCCTCTTCCAGAAGTCCAGGCTTCCTTTCAGCTTCAAGGCAAGATTTATGACTTTTAAAAATGGTACAGGATCTCGAATTCATAATCAATTTAGAGACAGTTATGAGAGAGATTAGCCCAGGAGCTTTGGGCATCCTTGCCAATGGGAATCACATAAACAGTTTCCTGTAAAGTAATGTCCTGGAGCCCAGAGATCATCTCAACAAAAACGTCTACAGAGTGAGGATCTGTGAAGTAAACTTGTAAAGAGCATTAGAGATCATCTAATTCAACCTCTTTACTTGCAGGTGAGGAACTTGGGAATCAGAGAGGTGAACTAATATATCTAATATCCCACAAGTTATTAGTAATAGCTAGAAGTTTTCAAATTAAGTTGACCTTCCAATCATACCATGGTACCATCATTTCCCTCCACTCTATTTGCAGCTTTGAGTCACACCAAGGACTTTCAGAGTTATTCTGGCCATTGATGTCGTGAAGCACTGTCAGAAATGTAAGTATGGCAACAATTTATTAGGTCATATTTTCCTTCTTTTGGATCTAGCATGATCAAATTTATATGGCTATTTCCCTCATACAGAAGATTTAAGTGGGGGCAGCGAGGTGGCACAGTGGATAGACTAGTGGCCTGGGATTCAGGGGGACCTGAGTTCAAATCCAGACTCAGACACATAACACTTACTAGCTGTGTGGCACTGGGCAACTCACTTAACCCCATTGCGTAGCCAAAAAAAAAAAGATTTAGGAGACACAGTGGGTAGACCACTGGGCCTGAAGTCAGGAAGTCCTAAGTTTAAATCTATATTCAGATACTGGGTAACCTTCGACAAATCACTTAACTTCTGCTTGCCTCAGGTTCCTCAACTGCGAAAAGAGGATAATAACCCACCTACTTCCTAGGGTTGTTGAAAGAACCAAATAAGATCACATTTGTAAAGCACTTAGCACACTGCCTGGCACATAGTAGTTGTGTTGTTTATTTCCTCCTTTCCAACAGAAGCAAAATGATCAGACCCACCTGTTTCTAATATCCAAATCTTTAGGAATTACTAGGGCAATTTCAGAGAAATATTCACCATGATTTCTGAGATGTCACGTTTTACATGGAATAGGAAAACCTTTGAATTTAATATTCTCTTCAGAGTTGGGTCACAGAGACAGCTGCACTGATAGTGGATTATGCACTTGCTTATTTGATTTGAGAAGTGTTAGAAAAGCTTCTCTTTTTCTCAAAACTTCCTTCAGATATGCCACTGTGCCACCTCCTTCCAAAAATCCCACAAGTGAAGGTATTTCCTTCCTATGACACAACTTCCATTGTTTAAAAATGCATGCAACCATGAGTTGTTTTTTTAAAAATCTATCTAAAATAGCTCATTTAAGCGTACTGGAAAGAGAGAACAAATGTAATATAACAACGAATTTGAGTAAAATTCAGTAGGACATTATATTAGATCATTTTCAATAATGTCTGAAACATCTTATCACATCTCTCTAGGGGGAAAGAATTTGAGATTTTTCTAGGAAAATAGCAACTCAGTCAGCACTTGAAATGAAATCACCACCTTAGAAGAAATCATTGATTACATCTTATTGTGAACTCATTTACATGGGACTATGGATTCCAGCTGAAAGTAAACTGAAAAACTAAGTGGTACAGTCCACCCATGTAACAGATGAGGAAACTGTGGCCCTAAGAAATGAAGAACTTTGCCCAAGAAAAAAAAATTTAAGAACAGAGGCTGAATTTGAAACTCTGATTTCCAGAGCACATCTTTTCAGACATCACAGGCACAGAAAGTAGATTCCTGCAGAAAGAGACTCATGTCACTCACACACACACAAAAAAAGACAGGGAATTATACAGAGGACCACATCCAGGACATATTTCAGACAGTAAGGGAAAAACCTCAAGCAGATTGAATAACAAAGGAAATTGGAAGCATGAATAGCAGGGAGAGGGACCCTGGAGAGACCCACAATATTTCTCAAGGCCAGCCTGCTTACCATCTTAGGTCAGAGGTTCCTAACTTTTCCTTGAAACAGTGTACTAGAAAAAGATTCCAAGAAAAAAATTTCACGTACAGGGGAGTAGAGAAAGAAGGTGAAGTCATATGAGGAATATAGGAGGTAGTTTTCGATCAGCCCAGAGTAACAACACAAATAACGATTATAGTTCACATTTAAGGTTTACAAAGGTGGCTTTTTTTCCAAAACATCCCTGTGTAGTAAGCAATAAAGGTAGTGCAACCACCATTTTACAGACAAGGAAATGTGGGTTCAGAGTCACTCATATCATAGAGCCAGTAGATGTCTCCTCCAGGATTAGAAACTAGGTTTCTTGACTCCAAGTTCAGTTCTCTTGAGTGTGGCTAAGGGAAAGGGGAAAAGGGAAGATTTGTGAGTGAAGATGGATAAAATAGAATATTTTGACAGAAGATCATGTTAGAAGGGGCAAAAAGATGTTAATTTTAAAGATACATGGAAAAAAAGCAATCCTGATAGAACCTAGAAAGAAGTGGAATATAATGAGGTGACCATATTTAAGACAAAACTTATGTGAGTTCCTTGCTTCCTCTTTCTTCCTGACTCCTATGACTATTATTTTGTCTCCATCCTCATCTTCAGGCTGAACCTCTCCCTCTCTACTCTGTGTTCAGGTCCATCAGAATTCAAAAGGAGAGGATGAGAAATCACACAAGGATTACATTATTCATTCTACAGGGACTGACAGATGACCCACAGCTAAAAGTTTTGCTTTTTATCTTTCTGTTTTTCAACTTCATGTTGAGGGTAGTTGGGAACCTGACCATCACCATCCTCACTTTGGTGAATTCCAACCAGAAAACACTCATGTATTTTTTTCTCAGAAATTTCTCCTTCTTAGAAATCTCATTTACTACTGCCTGTATTCCCAGGTACCTCTATAGCATATCAACTGGGGACAATACCATTTCCCTTGATGCTTGCTTCACCCAAATATTCTCTGTCATCTTTTTAGGGGCAGCACAGTTCTTTCTTCTGGCCACCATGTCCTATGACCGCTATGTGGCCATTTGCAAACCTCTGCAGTACACAACTACCATGAACAGCAAAGTCTGTAACCAGCTCCTGCTGGGTTCCTGGCTATCTGGGCTGATGATCATCCTCCCACCACTTAGCCTGGGCCTCCAGTTGGAATTCTGTGACTCCAATGTCATTGATCATTTTGGCTGTGATGCATTTCCCCTGCTGAAGATTGTGAGCTCAGACACAGAATTCATAGAGAGGATGGTTTTAATTTTTCCTGTGTTGACACTCATCACTTTACTCATGGTGCTTTGGTCCTATGCCTACATAATAAAGATAATTCTCAAATTCCCTTCTGCCCAACACAGACAAAAGGCCTTTTCCACCTGTTCCTCCCACATGATTGTTGTCTCCATCATTTATGGAAGCTGCATTTTCATGTATATGAAACCTTCTGCAAAGGAAGGAGTGGCTTTGAACAAGGTAGTATCAGTACTAGCAACATCTGTCACCCCAGTAATGGACCCCTTTATTTACACTCTGAGGAATAAGCAAGTCATACAAGCCTTTAAGGATTTAGTTTAAAGAATTGTATTTCTCTCCAAGCAGTAAGAGGCTACTGAGGTCAAGAAGCCAAAGGGGAAAGCTTTCTAAGATTTTGTAATTCTTTGCTATTTTTCTTGCTGATCATTGCTTAATAATAGACTAGCTAGTTTAAGTTTCCAACCTATTTTCCCATTCTGGGAGAAAAGGAGACAGAGAGTGAGAGAGAGAGACAGAGACAGAGACAGAGAGAGTTTTTTGGTTTTTTTGTCTGTTTGGGTTTTGCTCCTCTCGTGTTAGGTTCTGCTCTGCTTTCTGACACCTCACTCACCTCTCTCCCCAGGGAAGCTTCTCCCTCTACCCACAGGTTCAGGCACACCCATCCTCTCAGACTAGTTCCTGCCATGGCATAATATAGCAATAGGAAATCCCCAACTGACAAAATCGTAGAACTCAAAACCTTCCCAATTAGAAAGTTCTTTAGAAGTCATGGAGCCCAATTACTTTGCAACAAAATAAAATCCTTTCTTATTGTCAGTAGCCATACTCATTTGCAATATATTTTGCCTAGATTTTCTCCTTTATGTTTAAATTTCCTTTCCATTATCACTGATCCTATGTTGCCCCATTTCCATGTCTGGTTCCCTTATCTTTGCTGACTGATTAATCAACCTCCTGGTCCATTCTCTCTCTTGATATCCTAACTGATTTTCATCATCATTTCCCTATCACTATCAGGCTGAAGCATCAACCTCTCTTCAGAGATCCTGGAACACCTTAATTACAGTTCTCTTTGCATGTATGTATTCTTTTTTTTTTCCAATTTGCACTATACTTATGTATGTGCCTTTCCTCCCTCTATAACAAAATTATAATTTCCTGGGGCTCAGCTTTGTTTATATCCACCTTCGTGATGATCTGGAACATGCAGCTAAGTCCTTTGTGCATGCTAGACATTCAACAAAATGTATTTGAATGAAACTGGTCAATGAGAGAGAATACTGAAGTTATTTTCTGACTAAGGGGGTCAGGAATAAATGAGATCATAGAATAGTTGGACTCTGGCCTAGACAAAGACAGAAAAGTGTGTGGGAGCTGACTCTGGGTAAAAACAACTGCAAATTCTGTTCAGACAAGGAATGATAATAAGAAACTTTTAGATGGTATTTCAATTTTTACCAAGTACTTTCCATAAATCATCTCATTTGATCCTCACAACCACCCTGTGAAGTAGGTATTACTATTGGCCTTATTTTACCAACTAGCCAACTGAAGCTGATGAAGATTAAGTGATTTGTACAACATGGAAGAAAAAAAAATAATATTTTACCCCACCTTGTAGGCGCAATTTTAGGCACGCCAAAAAATTCCATCAATTTATCATTATTTTAGGCCAGGCAATGGTCTTCTTAGAAAGAGAAGTGACAAACAGAGTCTTCTCATGCCCTGAAACATTGCTCTCTAATGCAAGATATTTTGGAGTAATATTTACAGTATTCTCAAAAAGAGGATATTTCACTATATGATAAAACATAATTACACAATTCAGGGTAAGAAAAAGGTTAATATTTTAGTTCATCTATCCAGAAAAAAAAAGTCACTTAATCTTGGAGAACACTTTCCTAAAACCCCTCAGTCCCTCTATGACCACTCCATTGAAGTCATGGGAAAAGAGACTGCTCTTCCAAGGTGAATCACAGCCCTAATCTAGGCAAGGTTGATCAATGAAGAGCTCCTTTCCTTTGTCTTTTCCCAGACACCACCCTAATTAATTCATGAGGGAGGCCTCCCTGGGTTAATCTGAGAAAGGGGAAGAGGATCTCATCTTGGAATTAATACTTAGAGGAAGACTGAGCAGGGTTCCTCTTTCTTATTAGTCCAAAGGCTTCAGACAAAGATACTTGTAAAATGTTTCTTAATATTTCTAAAAGTGGATGCAGAATCCTGGGGTGGGAAGAGAAAATGGAGAATGGGGCTTCATATGCTTCCACACACACGGTAAGTGAAATTCTAAGGCAAGATTTGAAGTTAGGTCTTCCTACATAAAATTCTAAGGCAAGATTTGAAGTTAGGTCTTCCTAACTTAACAAAGCTTAAGGAGTGTTAAGCAACTGTTGATTGAAAATAATGAAGCACCTGTGGGAAAACAAGAGCATCTTCAGTCTCAGGACTAGCACAGTGGTACATCTGATACAGAGTACTTGATTAGTAAAATGTGTACTATGTACTGTGGAATCCTAAGAGAAATATGATAACAATGGATACAGAAAAGCAAAGCAGATGAATTGGTCTTTATCTCATCATAACAAGGCCTCTGGAGGATGAGGAATCTGTATACACCTTAAGGATGTTTCCCTTCCCTGGGGAGTGGAAACCCCTGGAGAAAGGAGAGTTATCTTGCTTGTTGAAGAGCACAGGGGTAATCCCATTGGGTTTTGCATTTTCTGTGGGGTGAAAATCTGTCCTTTATTAGATATCTGTTTTCATGACAGAGTTGAGCATTCCTTTACTCAGTCTGTAGAAAATAAGAAAGGAACCAAATTATGAAATTCTTAGTACAAATCCTAGGTAGGGAAAAAGAAATGCAAAAGGTCCAGAAAAATGCACTGCTAAATCTACAATAAGTGATGAACATTATTACAACTCTGTGGTCTTACCCCTTACCCAACAAGTTGAGAGGGTGTTGAAAAGCTAGAAATCATAAAAGTTAGAATCATATAAAGATAAATTATAAATTCATCCAACTTTACTGGAAAATAATTTGTAACTAAGGACAAGAATTGTTGTTCAGCCTTTCAGTCTTGTCCAACTCTTCGTGATCCCATGGACTTGTTCATGGGGTTTTCTTTGAAAAGATACTAGGGTGGTTTGCCATTTCCTCCTCCAAGTTGTCCCCATTTCATAGATAAGGAATTGAAGCAAAAAGAGGTTTGGTTTAGTGATTGGCCCAGGGTCACACAGGTAGTAAGTGACTCATCCAAAATGGCTACGTATTAATAATGGCAAGTCACATGTATCTGACATTTTTTGAAGTGTTTTCCTCACAGTAATCCTATGAAACATGTAGTTTTGAGTGTTATTCCAATTTTACAGATGATGAAACTGAGGCTCAAATATGTTAAATTATTTGACTAAATCCAAGTTTCCAGTTTATACTCTTAACTCTAAATATGACTTTCTCAAATGCACCAAAGAAACCTCTTCATCTTGGAAGCTCATTCTACCTCTGGACTACTTTTCACATCAGAAGTCCCCTCTGTCCCTGGGGCCTCTCCCTTTGAGGAGTTGGTACCTCTCAGAACCTCCATTTTAAGGAAGATGCCTAGGCCAACCATGTCTTCATTCCTCTCCAGTCTACACTCCTGATTCTCTGGAATTTCTAGACCAATGGTGTCAAACTAAAATAGAAATGGGGACCACCAAAGCACATAAGGACATCTTCTAGAAAACCACATATTAACATTAACATGATCTATTGTATTGTTTTATTTACTTGTTAAATATTTCTCAATTACATTTTAATCTGGTTTGAGCCAGACTTGGGACTGTTATGGGCTGTATGTGGCTGTCTTTGACCTCTCTGTTCCACAGCATGCTCTGACACTGGCCCCCTTGATTCCCCTCTCCCATTCTCAGCTTCCTTATAAAATGTAAGTTCCTGGAGAGGAGGGACTGTTTTTCTTTCTGCTTGTACCTATATTCCCAGCATTTTAGCATCAGACCTGGCACATAATAAATGCTAAATAAATGCTCCTTGTTATTGTTTTCACTCTATCACACTTCCTCTCAAATATAAAATATCTAGGTTTCAGGTAAAGAAACTGGGGAATAAGGAATCTGAATTTGGGGGTGAAAAGGGGGAAGGGCAAGGGGACTCTCTACCAAACATGTGGTCTGTTGCCCAAACTACTAATTTAATTCTTCTTTCTATTCAGGTGGTCTATAGTATATTCTAACAGCAAAAATCAATTGTTTTCCCCTCCATTGACCTTTGTCCAAATAACCTTTCTCATGTTCCCTCACTATGTAGATATCCTCACACCAGTATACCTTCTCAATATATAATGCTAACACCCCAACTCTTGTTACCTACTCTCTTTCTTCTGAAAAAAAGATACCAAAGGCCTACTCTACTCATGGATTTCATCCCACAACCCTACATAAGCACCAATGTTACCACCCGCACACTTTATCAACCTTCAGCTAAGGAGGAAATATGCTGCTAGAGGAGTTCTAAAATGGCACCACAAACAACAACAAAGGGAAACTGGGACAAGGGCCTCCATACAGCTTAGGACTTCACAAGAAAACTACCAGAAACCTATGGAGGCTCTGAGATTAAATATGCTAGGGTAGGTGGATGGCACAGCATGGAATCAGCACAAACCCAAGCTACAACAGCAAACAAAGTCACATTAGTGTCCAAGAAGCCTATGCCCAACACAGAACCCAGATAACCCAAGCCCACACCACAGCAGGAAAGAAGGCTAGATCAGCATTCATTTCTTATGGCATAATAACTTTCTATTTAATTGTGGTTTCATTTCATCTATTTCACTGTCCATGTGATACCACAGTTTGTACGGTCAATGACCAATTGATTGGACCCACTGTACTTCAAGCTCTTTGCAGCAATCAAAAGTACTGCTCCAAATATTGTGGTACATGTGGGTCCTTTCCCTTCAACTTTGATCTCTTTGAAGTATAAGCCTAGTACTGATTTCTCTGGGTGAAAGGATATGTGCAATTTAGTGACCATTAGGGCACAGTTCCAAATTGTTTTCTTTTATTTATTTTTTATTTTGAACTTAACAAACCTTGTCAAAAAGCAGCATTATTAAGAAGCCCTCAATATGGAACTTGCTTCATGTAAATCCAATGCATCAGTCCAAGGCCTTGGGTTATACTTGTACTGTAGCCAGCATCTGAATGTCTTTGGCCTTGCCTGTTGTTTGACATCCTCGATCATGAAATATTCTTACTCTTTTCTCCCATTGACCCATTTAACTGAACAAAAAGATGAACTAAATGTCTGTCATATA